ATTTTGGGGTAAAAAAAGTGCGTCTTATACACCGAAAAATACGGTACTTGATGAAGAAAACTTACACGAAAGTAACTATATCTTATGTTTACACAACAACTCGGAAATCACTACGCCAGATGACATTCAACTCTGGTGTAATAGATTAAAAGCTATCGTGTAAAATAAATATTGCGACATTGTTAGCAGACATTAATATAAGACAGTGTGGTTCTAAATATAAAATATTTTATACCTCAAAAATTGAAGATTTGTTGGCAAAAATTTACTTTGTTTTGTTCGATTTCGCGCAAAGTTAAACGCGGACAATCTAAACAAGATGTCAATAATTATGAAATGATCCATTACATGGAAAACAGCTTTTAATACAGGCTTACACATTAACACATAATACTCATATACCTTTTCTTTTGATCATATGTAATATTATCATGTTCTAATCACTATTTTATTCCTTTCGATTCACATATTGGAAACTAGTCGGGGGTGGGAGGCTTTCGTTCGGTTCCGACTAGCTCTTTCAATACGGGGTCGGTAATTGTGACGACCTCATAACCATTTTTTGCTTCAGCTTGTTATGCTTATAGTTTTCATGCTAAACTTTTAAATTTGGCAGATTAATAGTAAACATTACAATGCTTTTATATGCAAAATATATAATTTTTTTATTAAGTCGTAAGGTTTGTAAGACAATGTTTCTCATCTCTCATGCCTTTATTTTTTTCTTTTCACATCTTGCCTGTCTATCATGCAAAGTAATTTTCACTTTCAGATTAAAATACTTTTATGCATCAGAAAGTTTTCAAATTTCACATAGATTATTGCTATTTTGAAATAAGTTCTTAAACATATTTTCCTAAAACATAGAACAGTAAATAAAGAAGCAAAGCAAACAATTATCTCTTCTAGTTACGACCTTTGTACTCGGTTGCTGCAAGTTACTAAGCCTTTAAAAATTTTGCATGTGGAGGATATGAAATATTTTTTTAAGTTTCATATATACATTTGAATAATTAAAAATTCATAAACTACTACATCAATATTATATAATACAACTATAATTTATCAAGCTTAGTAACCAAGATATATTTCACTCTTAAAAAATATAAAATTTCGAGCAGACAAAAGACACAACCAGCTTCATTGAAATCTTGGTTCAAAAAAAGAAACAGCGCTAACCACGTTAGAAAAGATGAGAAAAACCACTAGAGGGACATTTTTAGCTTCCGATTGGTTATTCAAGTCATATATAGAAGTATATATAAGGGAGCGTTTTCAAAATTGGAAATTGTCACTGTGTTTGATTTATTACATGAGCAATATCTTAGCAAATAAAAAAGATGAGACCTTTTTATTTTATATCCTAGCTTCTCAATATTTGTAATTTGGGTTTCTAATTCGTACGAAACTAGACTTAATATTTTGGCTTCAAATACATTTAATTTGAACCAGTGCTGCATTAAGCATACCACTTGACACACAGAAATCGATGTTTATTAGTGTATTTTTATATTTACTTTTAAATTAAGAAATTGAGTAACGTATAATTCTAAAACTTGAATTATAATCTACAGTTTGATACCAAACTTATTGATATAAATTCACAAATGGTAGTTCAATAAAATTTTGAATGCAAGGCAACAAACGAGATGGCATGGCCTTTCACCTATGACCGTCAAGAATGGGCTAGTTGAAAGCGGTTTTTCTTCAGTCACCCCCCCCCCCCGCATCAAATTTGTGTAACATTAGATCGAAAGATCCTAGCCCGCCCTGAAAAGGTGTGATTTGTTGGAATACTTGTCAAAATCACACCCATAGTCTTAGCCTACTTCTGCCCTTCTTCGCCTCTTTCCCCAGTTACATACGCTTATGTTCGTATATGTTTTGTTTATTTTCTACTCACGTTGCCGTTAATTAATCAGTCTCGCGAGAGTGACGAAGGAGGGTTGCCATATCCTCCAACACCCTTCACCACTACCGTCTTTGCTGATGTACAAGATCCCATGTATAGGACGACCTCTATTGTCAAGCAAGTCTAGTATGATACTTTTGTAAAGAAATTCTTAGAAGTTATTTTTAAACTGTGGTAACTCGCGCTCTGAGGTAATCAATACAACCATCAGTGTGGTTTTTATGCTCTACAAACGCTACAGACAGCTCAATGCGGCATAACTTAAGTCACAAACATGTTAATAAACAAACATACTGATACTTTTCACTATGATATAAGTCCAGCTTATCTCTCTTTGGTTAACTTGTGTTAAGGATTACTGATGAGGAGTGGAATTCTCCGAAATTAGTATAACCCAATAACACGTTGATCAAAGTTTATATTGAACTGGGCTTCCCTTGAACTTTGACTTCGAAATTAAACAATTTTCGGAATACTAAGTTTATTTATTATGTAATAATCAACCTTGCATAACAGTTTTCATCATAGTTGAACTACTTTTATGTAACAAAAAACACTAAACCTTAAGCTATAGTGACCTACTATAAAAACATATTTACAAAATTAGTGTACGTTGCAGAAACTAACTTGTTTTGATATAAAATTAGCAACTAGCATAAAATACCCACGCTCGGGAGCGAGATTCTAAGGACCTTCATGATTCATAAAAGCCTCAATGTACCTGTCAATTGTCTCCATTATCTTAATTACTTCTATAGCTACCCCAATGAGCCAATTCTTTAATCTATTTGTCTGTTGCAATTTCCCGAACTTAATTCAACTCTTTTTAAAGTAAGCAGTTTTAATAGTCTCGGATTCGTTTTTTTTTCTTTTCAGTCTATAAATTTGCCAATATTCTCCTATTCATATTTTTTTCTTCAGGTATTTGTTACAGTTTCCCATACTTTGTTCAACTTTTTATAATTCTCAAATTTGTATTTTTTTCCCCATGTTTATGTTTGAATTTTTTCATGCGCCAATATTATCTTTTATTTCATGCCATTTCCCAAACCTATAAATTATGAAATACTTATTTTTTAAAGTAAATATTTTTACTTATGTCTGAATTCTTATTGCAGAATCATCAATATTTTTTCATTGTTTTGTTTGCAGCCTTTTCCAAAACTTAGTTTAATTCAAGGTTTTAAAAGCAATAATAATAGTTTTAACTTTTACATTAATTTTTTTCTTATTTTCTTTTTTTCATTACTACAGATGGAAAATAATTTAAAATATATTTTCTAGTTTTTGGCCTAATAGGCCCTATGAAGGGTGCCAGCCCACCATTGCTGATGCCATTTCCTGGATTTAAAAAAAGAATGCAAAATTAGATATTCAAATTTTGTAAAATAGTCTTTATTTTCCAAGAGATTGTGCATGAATGCCAGGAAAATTGATGTCATTTCCCAAACTTCTGAGGATCTGTTCCATGGGTCCTGGGAGGTCCTGATGCCTTTTTATCCCTCCTTGTTACCTTTGCCTAGCTAAAAAAATGTTTGGCCCCATACCCTATTGAATTTTGTTAATTTTTGGCCAATTTTGCATTTGGCAGAAAACCTTCACATATTGTTCATTCAGTAAGCAAGAATTGGAAAAATATATGATACTTTTCTATAGACCTTCATAAAGCAGAATTATGGAGTTTATGGGCTATAGGGCAAAAAAATTGGCCAAAATTTGTTTGACTCAAATCTAAAAAATAATACCCAGGTGAACACCTTCAAAATATCCTTAGGATGCATGCAGTTTCCAGTCTCTAGGTTCTTTCCTCTGGGAGCTATGGTGGTTACATACACACTCAGGCTCTTTACTGTTACAGAAAAAATATATAAAAAATAATACTCAGATGCACATCCTCAGAATCCCCTTAGTATGTGTGAAAGGTTTCAGATCTCTAGGTTCTTTCTTCTTGGAGCTATGGCAGTCACATACACAGATAGGATCTTTTATTATTATAGACAGATATTTTAGTATGACAGATTAGATCAATAAATTTCAAATTAAAAATATCTTGAATAATTGTAACTAGCATGTAAAATAAATAACTTCTAGTTTTAAGGAATTGAGACAAATGATATAATTACAAATATGTTACTGTAACATAGTAAGTGGCACAACATCACACTTACTCAAAGCAGCAAACAAAAGTAAAAGGAATAATGTAGTTTTGGTCAAATATGCTATTAACTGGAGAGTTTTTACTGGAGCTCCATCTTCAAATATGTGTAAGATGAGGGGTAAAATCTGGCATTTCCTTAATAGTTAATGAAATATGCCTAAATACCTGCTGTGCATTTGAATTTAGGGAAGGCAGTTCTTGAGGTGCTTTTGCCACATCCAACAGTGGGATATAAACATCTCTCA